GACGCCCGCATCTCCATCGCCGCCAGCAGCGCCGCCCTCGCCGCCCTCGCCGCCCGCATCCCCAAAGACGCCGTCAGCGCCACCCTCGCCGCCGGCCCCGCAAAACTCCCCCTGCGTCACCCTCGCCGCCACCAGCGCCACCCTCGCCGCCTGCATCTCCATCGCCGCCATCAGCGCCGCCCTCGCCACCCTCGCCGCCCGCATCTCCATCGCCGCCATCAGCGCCGCCCTCACCGCCCTCGCCGCCCGCATCTCCATCGCCGCCCTCAGCGCCACCCTCGCCGCCCTCGCCGCCGTCGCCGCCCGCATCACCATCGCCGCCGTCAGCGCCACCCTCGCCGCCCTCACCGCCCTCGCCGCCCGCATCTCCATCGCCGCCGTCAGTGCCACCCTCGCCGCCCTCGCCGCCCTCGCCGCCCGCATCTCCATCGCCGCCGTCAGCGCCACCCTCGCCGCCCTCGCCGCCGTCGCCGCCCACATCACCATCGCCGCCAGCAGCGCCGCCCTCGCCGCCCTCACCGCCCTCGCCGCCCGCATCTCCATCGCCGCCGTCAGTGCCACCCTCGCCGCCCTCGCCGCCCTCGCCGCCCGCATCTCCATCGCCGCCGTCAGCGCCGCCCTCGCCGCCCTCGCCGCCCTCGCCGCCCTCGCCGCCCGCATCTCCATCGCCGCCATCAGCGCCGCCCTCGCCGCCCTCGCCGCCCTCGCCGCCCTCGCCGCCCTCGCCGCCCGCATCTTCATCGCCGCCGTCAGCGCCGCCCTCGCCGCCCTCGCCGCCCTCGCCGCCCGCATCTCCATCGCCGCCGTTAGCGCCACCCTCGTCGCCGTCATCGCCGTCTCCCCCTGCCCCACCCTCGCCGCCCCCACCGTCGCCGTCACCCCCTGCACCACCCTCGGCGGACCCACAGTAGCCTTCGCCGTCGACAACTTCGCCCTCGCCGCCACCGCCATCGGCGCCGACTACGAGCCCACAGCCTCCGAGTCCACCGCCACCGAGCCCACCGCCTGCAAGTCCGCCTCAGACAGATTCGCCGCCGCCATCTCCGCCGGCGGCATCACCGCTGCCACCTTCTCCGCCGCCATCCGCGACGCCGACACCTTTTCCG